TACCTCATTGCCAATAAAACAAAACATAGCACTGATAAATTGGTTTGATTATTCTGTCCAAAACAGGAAGGCAGCCATAATTACTGTTGGGAGAAATTATTTGAAGATGCTTTCATTCTTCATCTTGGTGAACAATTAACCAAGCCCTCCAGCTAATGACGCAATGTCCACTTTATTTGTTTGTATGAACATGAGCACAGTATAAAATTAATGGGCAATGCAGTTCAGTCCTAGGCAAAATGAATCGTGGAAAAACAAAGTGCTTGGGCTATATATATTTTCATCCTACTTTAGTGAACTTTCTCTGAAAGGCTTGGGAAAGTGGTGACATCTCAGACAACATGTGAAAATAACAGACATCCAAAATGCTTGCCAAACACGAGTGGATTTCACCCATTATTTATCAGTTTAGTAAGCCTATGTTTCCATGAGGCCTATCTCCCCATCTTTAGACTCCAGTCTCAGTGACATTACAGGCACAACCATCTTTTAAATCTGATTTTCCATTACGGCTTTTCTCCTTGTTGTTTGTTTTTCATGCTAGATAGATCATTTCTGAGGTTAGGGTTTTCAGGTTTCACATAATATTTTCCATTGGTACCTTTGTAGCCTTTCCTAAGACAAGGACAGTCTTCTGGCCAGTAGTATCAGGGAGGGGAAGCTCAAGACTGTTCTTAGGACTTTTGGAGGAAGGATAAATGTAATGAAGAACACTGAGACAATGTTTTAATTAAGCACCCCCCTCTCCCAAACCAAACAGCACAGTATTCCATGATTAGAACCAGATTGGCAACGTTGAGTCTTGTGATCTCTCCAATCTCTGCCTCACCATCACATGAAATGATAATAGTAACACTTATTCTGAATTAAATCTCAATCTTCTTCCGTCCTCAGAGAAGACTGCTAGGTAGGATAAGCATGAAAGATGAGGGAAAATGAAAGACCTATTTTAATCTGAATTGCTTGGATCCTTCCCACCTACAGGTGAACAGAGATATTGTGTCAGGCCTGAAATATGTTCAGCATACCTACCGGACTGGGGTGAAAGGTAAGGGACCCACACTTTACATTGTCCCAAACTCTGCTCCCCACTGATACTTAATCTTCTGCTTATTAATAATTTTAATCATAGGCTCATGTAAGAATCTGATTAAAAGCTATGGGCGCTCCCCCTAGGAAAAAGCACATATGTACCTCTGACCTCGACACCAATGGTAAGGCCCACGTCCAGAGATCCAGTTTAGACTGGGTCCACCACTAATCTTCAGCATTCAGTTTCTGGAATTTAAGCTTATTATTCATAAAGGGGAAGAGTAACCAAGATAAGTTTGAATAAAGATGGAGTATATTAAAATACTCTC